AATTTAGATATACTTACCCACAACAATCTAAATTTATTTTCATAAACTTAATTACTGATTTATTTTTGAAATGCGTAGATTATTATATAATTACATAAAACACCATTTTGAAGTAAACTTTCATTAACAAAACATGAATAGTTAGAAGTAATAAAAATATCTATCTATACCTTTGAAGACTTAATGATATTAACGTTATTTTAATTTGTCAATATATTATGCTTATTTAAATATTAACATTTAAATAAACCACCCACTGAGTAGAATTTTCGATATCCGATAAGGTATCGAAATATTGAATGACACTACCATGTATTTAACTGGTTCGTCGTTGGGAGTCCATCTTACCTGCACAAAATCCCTTAATCCGTTTTTATAACCATACGACAGATTAAGATAACAATGTACCTAATACTATATTTTTTATATCGTGTCAACTAAACTGTCAAATTATCAAACGGGTTGAAAGGAAGAGCAGCTGAATATTAAATTAAGAAATCACATAAAGAAATGAATGAAGGGTTTAGTTTGCGGTGTTGATTTTTCTGACAGAACCATTGTTAATGTGTGAATGTGAATTTAAAATTCAAAAGCGTCGACTTTGTCTACAGTAAGTTAAAAGAAACACAATGCTGTCATTTATAATAATATTCGAATATGCTGCAAGGGTCAACATATTTTTCTTGTGTTCAACGACAACTGAAACAATTTTATACAATTTTAAAATAGTTGGAAATATTTATTCAGATATCTGTCGTTTAATTTGTTGTAGCGCTACTTTTACGTTTTTATTAGTAAAGTAGAAAAAAAGAATAGTTGTTTTATTTTTATCATGTTTAATTAACAAAATTCAATATATTTTTGTAAACATGGTAGAAGTAATAAAAATATAATGTCCAGGCGCCTATTTTTATTATACTGCAATAGTATTCAATTAAATGTTGCATTTAAAAAATAGTAGGCGTTTTTAAATTTTTTTATAACATTACTATATTATTTACTTTACTATATTATTGACAGGAAACATTTTTTGTAATGTTGCAAACTGGAAATAGGTGATATTTCAACAAGTTCAATAGAGAGAATAGATGGTCAAATATTACAGTCCTGACCAGTCTTTCTATTGTCTAACATTATGATTAGACACTAAAAAGATTGGTCGGGGTTAGTGATAATTTATGACATAAATGAAATGCTTTGCATTTTTTACAAGATTGATTGATTCTCGATTGTACTTTTAAAAAGATTCAATAAATAAAAATGTATGTTGATACAGAATGTCACAGAGTTTATTATGGATGAAGCATAAGATAATTTCATAAAATATTTCGTCGGTTGACTAATTCGTCCTAGACTCCGAGATATTCGGAAGTTCAGCTAAAAATTACGTTACGTTGTCAGCATGGCTGGTTAGGCTAATATAAGCCATGCCAGCAAGTGACTTGAAGGTTGCTACATTCTGAGCCAGTAAAAAACTCTCATATCATTGAGTTAACGATTCAAAAGTGATTGTAAAAAGTTAATTATATTATATTTAGATACATTTTCATTTTAATATTTTTGTATGTTAATAGTACCCTATGTTTTTTAATATATAAAGGGAGCATACACCTGATAGTAAAGACGCGACTCTTGTAAAGCCCCGTATTGTGGCGCTCAGGAAAATCTCCAGAAGGAAATCGACAGTCGATTACCAATATGCACAGCGAGGCAGAAGTCACGATTAAGACACAGTGAGCGTACTTCTGTGGGATGCCAAGTATCAAGCATTACATCCCATCAATCAATTAAGGGTGCAATGATAGAAACCTGATGGTGACAGCAAATCAAAAATCATCACTCAGGGGCAATAAAATAATACACTAAAGTAAAAACCTATGTTCAGATGCCTGACTCTATTGAAGTGCACCTCTTTTTTAAGAGCAATTTAAGTTTTTTATTTCTATTTAAATTTTTATGTCTTGCATTAAAATTGATTACCTAAAAATTATATTTAATTTGTCTGTAAATTTCATATTTCTATACTATTTCTTAGGATTAATATGTACAAGCATATTCAGTTATAAAACAACATTTATTTGAAAACTAGCTCGTATGCTCTAGCTCAAAGGCATAAATACCCGACCTACTCTTCACAAAATAAAATGCAACTCTGGTTCTCGAAATATGTGGCTGATTTCATTAATATTTTCCAGAATATTTTCGAGCAAATGCTTCGCACTTGACCTGCTTTACTATGCAGATATAGAACCAAATTCGGTGCAAGCGGCTCTCATCTGTGAATAGTTTATGCAGGAACTTAAATCCTGGCGTAGAGTGATGCATTAGACTATGCTGCTCGTATACGGTGGTACATGTATTTCTTATTTTATATCTAAGCTAGCAACTCGCCCTCGCTCTGCTCGGGTTCGTCCCTAGTTACGTTTTAACGTTTAGTATAGATTTTTAAGAGATGAGATATTTTTCTGCAGTAAAAAGTATCTTATATATTGACGCGGATAACCAACTATTATCATACCAAATTTCATCAGTATTTGTCGAGTGATTTTCTCGTGATGCGGTCACAGACAGATAAAAATTCTAAAAACTATAGATCAATAATAATGACTATTTTAATAAGATTTTCCAAAAAATACTTATTGAATTGTAGATGTAGATTTGACTCAGTTAGAATTTTATTATAATATGTATAGATATGTTGAATTAATATACATAATATGTATATTGTATACTGTATTGGCTACTTCTTAACGACACACCTACTTGAGAGGAGCCGCACGCAAACACTATATCAGCAACAAAAAATTCCAAGATATTTATTTTATAGTTATATAATAACCTAAATGGGTAGCTAATGTTTAACGGATGAGCTAGGATGGTTTATGGAAATAATAAGAGATGGATTACAGTTCGGTTCAAGTAGGATCACTGTCGGCCGCTATTAGACAGGGATAATAAGGGGATTTTGGGCAAAAACCTTTATAAGCTAGCACTAACATGTTACACTTTTTATTAAAATTTAGTACGTTATTTCACTTTACCGAAAAGGCTATATTCAAAATGATTTATTATCGTTTCACAAACTAATGTAACTCAAAATAATCAAAAATAACCATATTTACTTTTTAGGATCTTAGAGACGTTTAGTTCAATTTTAACTTTTGACAGATTGTATTGAACATGCAGGAAAATCGTGGCTTGATTTAGAATCTATATATAATGATACATAGAAGGAAAAAATGAGACTTGCAATGCTCAAAAAATACGAGCCTAAAACCTTATTTTGTCTCTATATACATAATATGCCAGTATCCATAGTTTAAAATCAGCATTTACTTTTAAGCACAGATAACACTAATTGTAAGTATTTCTAAAAACCAGCTTAGTGCTATTCATTGGTTCCTTTCCCCAAATTTAGAATTTCTTAATCCAGCTATTCAAATGAATTTTCTGTCATATCCAGTTACTAAAAGCTTGCGGTTTAATAAATTTTTAAAAATTTCTTACTTTTTCGTTAAATTCTTGTTTCTTTAAAAAAATATCTACATTTTCCAAGTATTAAAGATAGCCTCTTCGGATAAAATCAATGAAATGACCCTTAAAATCGGTTAATTTATTTCAAAAATCAACTTAGATAAACAAACAGTATCTAATAAAAATAGTAGTTTACGGTTTGATACCTCGTTAATAAAAATAAGAGCTTAATTAAAATGTCCTTTATACTAATTATTGCTTTAAAATCATCGGCAGTAATAATAATTTGAAAGCTCGTAACGCTCGTTTAAACAACAAAAATAAGATGTCAAAAATTAATTATTTTTTAAATGAATATATTTCATTAATAAAATCCTTATATATTTTATTAAAGTTAATTATAAAAATTATAGATAATTAGGAATTAAGAGGAAAATTTGGTGCGATTCTTTGTAAAAGTATCATAGGTTGACATCCATATCCATACTAATATTATAAATGTGAAAGTGTGTTTGTTTGTGTGTGTTTGTTTGTATTTTTTTCACGTCGAAACGGCTTGGCGGATTGGCGTGATTTGTGCGGAGATAGTTGGAGGGCTGAAGAGTGACATAGGCTACTTTTTACCGCGGGAGATTATTTCTTTCCCACGGGAAAACACGTTATAATACAATCCAAAAAATATTTATGATCAGAATTACTTGAAACTTGGTATTAATACTCTTCAATGCAATTAATTAAATACGTGTTTTAGCATTTTTCGAAATTCGTTCTGCTAGTTAATTATAATACCGTAATTCTCTATGTAAGTTTCGAGAGACACGCCTAGGAATCCATGAATACATTTCAAGAGCAATTTACTCTGTAGGTAGATATATAACTTTGGTTTTATGAGTCGTAAAACACTAAACGAAATGAAAATTATGTCACGCGACATGAACTGCAATTACAGTAAGTAGGAGATTAGGGAGAGAAATTACCATTGTTATCTGTGGATAATTTTATTTAAATTCATCACAAATATTTATACCTAGGTGCAGAATAAATAGTGTTACATTATGTAAAATAATAAAATCACACAATATTTTTTTTAATATGATTTCAAGGGTTTTTATGTTTGTTAAGTGAGTACCTATTTCATAAACACCAAGTTTACATTCTTTACAATTTTCGTCTGTCCACTTTTGTCTGCATCATTCGAAAACTTTTTTACTCGTGGCAAAAGTTTATTTTTATTATATATAGTTTTATAATTTACCTATTAAGCAGCAGTGGTAGCCCATTGCTCACGCGATTGATTAGAAATGTAAGTGATGTAGGTTCAAGCCAAATCCGCTTACCCGCACTTGATGAGCCATCGACTCTATTATGATATTATATCATTTATGTATCTATTATGTAAACGGAGCTGGGAGCAAATGCTGTTGTTAAATTCAAACATGTAATTTATCAGCTTTAACGATATTTAAAATTGGATTGGATCACTAGGTGTATGAAATTAGGTCAATGTCCTCAGTCCTTTAACCTTAATAATATTTTTTACGTAGCTTTCTCTTCAAAAATTCGTCGTTTACATTCTTATATGGGTTATTTTTGTCCAAGTTCTTGACCCAATTTTCATTTGTGACGCTTCTAGCCTCAACTACAGGTGTTGGTAGTCTCGTTCTCGTCAAAAATCCTTGTAATGCTTGCAGTAAGAAGGATAAAAGAGACATCGAAACAACAATATTTATAGGATCAAAACCGATGGAGTGATGATGGTATGTTGGGACATAATTAGCAGTTGCACTCACTCCAAATCCAGTGCTGGTATAATGATTCCCAAAACTTTTGCCACTCCTAGCTTTCCTTTTTATATTGTTCTCAATATTTTCTGATATAGGAGATTCGATTTGGTACTCGTTAACGAATTCTCGTTTTAATTTATCCGATACTTCATTACCGTTTTTAGGATTCTGATTCATATCTCGTATTTTCCTCAATAGCATTTGAGCGTTCAATTGTATTTTCTTGAGTCGCACCTGAATTTTGGAACTCTGGTCTTTTATCACTTTCGTCATATACTCTTTGAAATTTTGCATTGACGGCGTCACGTTCGCAAGTTGCTCTTTTGAAATATCGGATTTCACGAAATTTAAGAGTAAAATTGCAAACAAAACAACTGAGAGAAACGACATGGCTACAACGGCTGATTTATAGGAGAAAAGTTTCGAATACATGAACTTTGCATGGATTATAAAGTTAAAATGTATATGTGCCTTGTATTTTGATTTATATTTATAGTGAATTCGAGGTTCGTTAGATCAGAAAATAGCATCGGCAAATAGTATAAGAGACGGCGGCCGCTAGCGCACTGCTACATATTTAGAATCCATTCGACTTACCTTAAGTACTAAGATACTAATATCAAAAAAATAATTATTTAAGAGATATAAATGTAATATATTTTTAACATTAACTTTATGAGGACGAAAAAAAATTATTTATAATATTATGTATCTACACAAATTTAATATGTAATGTTTAAGAGTCATTAATTTTTGAAGTTATACTTTTTTTGGCTCGTTTGGAAAAAATATGAGAGTAAAATTTTTACGATGCGCGCGCATACCGACAGCCAAAAAGTGACATGATGAAGTTAGCTGCACTCCTTTTACACACAGAGAGTTGTGACATACTTTGATGAAATCTTTAGCTATTTTTGTTCTGTTTCGTCAAAGAAGTATAACCTCTTACGTGCGTATATATGTACACACACACGTTTTTTTTCTTTGTAAATCCTTCGGTTTTCGTAGACAGTATATTTTTATCGCTAGCTCTTATTTAAAATACATATGACATATGATGTCTTGTTGCCTTGACATTTGACCTAGCTGATCACGACCAATTTCACAGAGCACAATGTGACAGCAGAAAGTTTGTGATTGATATAAAATTTCTTCTAATTATTTAAAAACAAACAAATTTTATAAAATAAACGAACCATAACGTGCGATTATAAATAACCTATATTCAAATGTGGCGTTAAGTTTTAAAACAAATTATTATATTATTACGGCCGTCAGTGTACATAACTGTACACTATGACAGTTAAAAAATACTATGTGTCACTGCGTAAAGTGCGCCAGATCTCATAGGTTCTACTCCTTGTGGATCCTCTTATAGGATCGTCAAAGACAAATTGACAAAACGTTTATTTTTATTTAATTCTTGTAATTTTATATAATAAAAGTAAGAACTTTGATAACCTTATTTTTTTATTTCACATAATATAATGAACCTTATGTGTTAAAATTAAAATAAAACATTTAGAAATAAAAATTACTTACAATTATTTTATTTAAATAATTTTAAATATTTTTCGAAACAATGCCCTCTATGCTCTAGGTACCGAAACTCTACGAATGCTATAACTTGCGCACTGGCATGCAGTCTGTACAGCCATCTTTGTAGTTAGATGAGAACTAAAATAAAATCATCAATATAAAAAAGTTTTGTAAATTAAAAAAAAACTCTAAATAACTAAATTTTGAAATATACAAAAAAAACAAATAAAACTGTTACATAAAATAAAATTCTAGTAAAAACGTTGCGCAGATACAACTTATGGTAGCGCCATCTATTATGTTAATACTGCACTGTCAAAGCCCATCGAGCTTAATCATGTGTGTTGAAGTACTTCCTATAGTCAATAGATGTCGCTTACTACATATTTTTAAAAGGCAATAGTAATATAAGATTACTGTTTCTGTAAATTTAACGCCGGGTTCGACTTGTGCAGTCCGCCAATCCGCACTTGGCCAGCGTGGTGGACTATGGCTGTTCTCCCTCGTATTGAAAGAAGCATAAAAAAGGGTTGAACAGTGAATAGATACAAAAAAAGTTACTTTCTCAGTTTATTAATTTTTTTAATAATTTTTGATCATATATGTTTAATATTTTTGTTTCTTTTAATTACAAGTCTTGTGATCAAAATGAAATTTTTAAATGACCGAAATAATAAATCAATTACCAACAGTACCTATGTAAGAATAAGTACGTAAGTACACATATCTAACATTTAGTAGAAGACTGAAACTCAGCGAATATGTTCTGCAAATGAGTTATATTTACATTCGATGTTGGCCTAATTATGTGACAAGATAATAGCGATTGTTAATTAACTGATTAATTACCTGTATTTATCTAATATTGTTGTGATTGAAATGTCAGAGCTGTTTCAGAATTGTGGTTTATAGATGTTACAACGCTAAAGCTGATATTTAAATACTTATGCCATATCCTATCCATATTAATATACTAATATTATAAATATAAATAATATTAGTATATTAATAATATATAAGTTTGTGAGGATGGAGGGATGTTTGTTACTCTTTCACGCCGGAACGGCTGAACCGATCTGTATGAAATTTAGCACAGAGATAGATAATAGTCTGGAATGGCACATAAGTTACTTTTTATCCCGGAAAAATGTACGGTTCCCGTGGGATAGATTTGTTTTTGTTTAGGGGTCTAGTCGCTAGTTATAATTTTTTTAAAGTTCAGATGGATGTCACAAATGTCACAATGACATTGAGTTTAAACTGTTCAACGGTTTTAAGTGAAATTTCATACCTAAATAGACACTCTTAATCCTCTGTATTAATTAGGATATATATTATGTACTGATATATTATGATCCTGGTTATTCTTTCATATTGGATAAAAATTCAACAGATTTGTTACGGAATATATCAATAGATGGTGCTTTATTTAAATGAAATAAAAAAATAAGCATATATTATACAATTATTAAATATTAAGTAACATGAATTTACTCTTATTACCTCATGTTCATTTAATACCTACATTTTCACAGAAAGATATCAATTATTAGGAATAAATGTTAATAATAAAAAAATGGCAATATTAATTATATTGAATATAACCTATTTTAGTAGAATTTTTTTTTAAAATAAAATAGTTTGACAGTGCTAATTAATGCCCTTTCATTTATTTATGAAAACAATAAGCCAAAGATAAGACCAAATCAGGGTACCTACCTTTCATTGTATATGATCATGGGATGGGGTAGAATTAGATACTAGATAGAATTGCGTCATCTGTGAATTGTTATAATAATGCCTCCTAACCAATTCGATCACGGCGGTTAATCTCATTGAGATAAGCTCTGTGCCCAGTAAATATTATAGTGCACAAATGTATGTACGTGTAGACTAGGGTTACCAACCATACTGTTAAAAACATATAAACAAACTGTTCTATTTTACTCTAAAATTATTTTTACTGTTCTATTAAAAAAAAGTATTGAAAATAATGTTTTTATCATCGTTGGATCTGGAGCCATAAAAACTGTAAGTAATACGCCAAGATGTTATTAATCAGCTATTTTGTCATTGAATTCTGTGGTGAGCATTAATCACAAATGTTTTTTTTTTAAACATTGATAATCTTTATTTACACAGACTAAATATTAATGCTGACAATTTATATTCAGAATAAATATAATTTTAAGTTGTGCAAGAAGCTCAAAAAATATGTTATCAAAACATTTTATTCATAATATATACTGTTTATTATATACAGTTCTCCAACCCTAATAAGTATGCTTTATTTCTCGTGCAAATAGTGACAAATAAAACTCTCTCACACTCGCTAACTTTCCAAATAGTTTTTGACAGAACACCGTCATAGTTCAGCCATTTTGTACAAAATTAAATATTTTAGTACAAATTTTATATGTACACAATCCTTCCCCGTTTGTCGCTCTTTTTATTAGGAACACTATATCAAAATACGTTGCATTATCTAGAAGTAAGCGGAGAAACAGACAAAAGCAGACAACGACTTTGTTTTCGCGGCATACTATGTATACCTACCTAGAACATTATTATATTCGTTAATCAGCGACTTGCACTCGCTAATTTTTGCATTTCCCCACAAAAATAAAAGATTTTAGCACACTAAATTGTTAAATATGTTCATTTTTAACACTGCTACTAAAAGTATTTGTTTATTCATTAAAATTTTTGTATGAAGAGCAACTCGGCCGAACCAGTTATTTATGTATTTTCCCCTAAGAATAAGAGATTTTCCTGTAGTAGGTTTATACTAAATGTTGACCTGAGGTATATCCCTACACAAAATTTAGTTAAAATCCGTTTAATATATTTTTTGCATATAAAGCAAATTGGTATACAGATAAACAGACAAAAGTTTCAACAACTACTGTTTTGAGATCTTGATTCTTGAGATCAATAGATACGTAATGGTCATTGGTCATTGTTTTAAAAAAAACTGTCACGTACAGATTTTACTTTGTTCCAATTTTATTATATGTAAAGACACTAGATAGAAATAAACCCGCATATGTGTAGATTAAAGGTACCTACTATATTTATGAAAATCTTCTTCTTCGTGACACTCTTGACGCTTGAGAGCGGTCGTGGTCAACACGTAACGAGTTCTGTAAAATATGGGGACAACAAGTGTTCGAACGAGGCGGATCTTTGTAGCCTTCGTTACAGTTTATTTATAAAATAAACTTTTTAATTAATGTAAATGAAAGATCTAGTTAAAATTAGACAATAATAAAAAACAACAATTAGAGATCTCATAAACGACGTTACAGGAGAAAAACACAGACGCTAATTAGCTAAGTTTCATAATAAATTAGTGATCTTGTTTAATTATAAATAGCATGAGACTATTTCTTTATAAAATTTTAGTATAACAATACACAACAACTGCTTTCTTCACTTTCTCATTGTTTTACAAATAGGCATTGAAGCTATATATAAAAAAGACGGTTAATTGCATTCGACATTAATTACAAGATAATTGAAAACCCTTTAAAAATATCAAGAAAATAAATATAAGGTGTTAAATAAATAATAGTATAGATAATATATTTAATACTCATTACTAAATACTAATACTCAACGACTTCTACTAATTGTAAATTACTATGTGTCGAATGTACAAAAACATTCAGACACATGCAAAGATGATGACAGAACTATATAATGTGTTGGTAGTCTAGTGACTAGCATATATGATGTACGGCTGCAGATCCGAG